ATCAAGCGCAAGGTGGAAGAGTTTGCGTACGAGCTGGAACTGCCTGATCGAAGTGGGTATCGCTTTTACCCAGTAGTGCATGTGTCGAGACTCAAGGCTGTCAACGAATTCAACAGTCGACCGAACACTCGGTTGGTACTTGACGCGACTAATGAAGCAAGACTCGACTTCGATGAGGAACTACTGCCTGAGGACAGCTGGGAACCAGATCAAGTTGCCGGTGAATATGAGGTCGAGGCCATCCTCGACGACAGAACACCCCTGTCGACGAGCACGGAGCGTGCTGTACGCGAGTTCAAAGTCAAGTGGGTGAGCTATTAAGATACAACTTGGGAACCTTCATCAAACTTGTCATGTGGAGGTCTGCTGTACGACTATTGCGAGCCAAGAAGAGCGAGAATCGGCTGCAGATGGCGCAAGTGGCGGACGAAGACTAGCGTGACTTGATCACGTATGTACTGTCCACAGGGCGATGCAGCCTGTGGTAACCGACGAAGAACGTTACTGCAACAACAAATTGTATATGCATTTGAAGAACAACATGAACATGATTACGCTGTGGAAGTGGATTAAGAATAAGAAAACATGAATGCCGACCGCGGAGCGATCACTGAAAACGAAGTCACGCGGGACACCTCAACAGTTAGCTGAGATGCTGGAGAACGTCGTAGAACGTGCAGCGAGGATTCAAATCGATTCCAAGTGTCTGGCCGCGGTGGCCAAGAGTGTCAACGAAGCCGAGTCACCACTCTCCTTCTCCTCTTCATCAAGAACCTGAGCCTCGGCAGCTGGAGCTGAAGCCGGACCCTGCGAATCCTCGGTACCAGCTTCAACAGGAGCAGCAGCCAGAGCAGGACGTGGAGTACCCGGTGGCGAGTCAAACAACGAACGCCAGGTCGAAATAAGCTCGGTTGAATCGAGAGACGGGTCAACGATCACGCTTCGGTACACATCCACGAAACGCGTACCACGAGGATTGAAGAACTCCGGATTACGCTGGCACGAGAAGTACGTGGTGTTGTACGGGTGCTGATGCGGCGCATTCATCCATCCAGTACGCCATGGCTGACGAGCGTCGAGAGCCGGAACTTCGGAAAGCCAGTCAGATGTCTGAGGTGCGAATGGCAAGTTTTCAATGGGGTACCACGGCTTCGACGGCTCCAAAAGCAACTCGGGACGAATGAATGACACGCCGGAAGCACTAGATGAAACCGAGTCACGACTCCACGCCATGTACTGCTCACGGTACTTGTTGCGAAGACGATCGGCACGACGG